GAGGAGCAGAGACGTGGGGGAGGGAGGCGCTCGAGGGAGGCGCTCGAGGTAGGGGCTCGTGCCAAGAAGGGGACTCCCCTTGAGTTGGCGTTGGAATGTGGATACTGATACTTGATGTCTAGGCATGCGCGCGCGTGTGCACGTGTGTGAGTTTGAGTGAATTCGGAGGGAGCGGTGTTGGACACCCATCCCCACGTGCGCCGTGCCGGCCTTCATAGGTGCTGCTACTTGCTAACAGCAATTGCCACAGCAGTCTGCTAGGGACATTCTGGGGATCTTTGTCTATGTATGTGGGGAGCGGTGGTGCAATGATGAGCGCGCTGTGTTATGAATCCGGCGACCCGAGTTCGATTCCCGCTCACTGCCAACACCAGTGACGAATATCTAAACCGGCGCTGGACCTCCCCTATGTCGACTCAGCGGTGTGTAAACATCGCCACTTGGGAGACAAAGGTGGCCGGGCGTGGTGCTGGCCACCCACCCCCTCGTGTGCAGTGCCGGCCTTCATAGGTGCTCGCAAACAGCACTTGCCCCAACAGTCTGCCAAGGCTTCCAGCACAGCAAGACAAACCTGGCAAGCCGAGTTCAATTATAAATTAAATGTTTGTATAGAGTTGCGTTTGCTACCAGAGACTTTATAATAAAGAAAACGGGCCACATTGATCAAGCGGTTGCCCCCCCAAAAAAGTTGGCGATCAAAAACCAGCGCCAAAAGTTATCCTTGGTGGCCAAGGCAAACGACGTCGTTACGTGACATCATTTCTCTAGATCACTTCAAGGCGATCGCCTCCCTTCCCTATGACGTCAATACATATAAGGGTTATTCACGGGTCACACGTACCCTTGTGGCGATGTCTCATTGTTCGAATTGGAACGTAACGCTGATATCGCGAATTAAATACTCTGAGAAACCACATACACAAATGCCCGATGGAAAGTTTTGCACCAAGTCCACTTCTCTCTGTGCATAGAGTCATTTTCTCTCGTCCATGAAATTGATTCAAGAACTTGGCACCGTTACACGCTCTCCCCAGCCGCATCCTGATTGTTCAAATTGCTTCCGTAAGTTAATTCGCTCAACCCACGGGCGTACGAATTCGATTACCATTCCCATTTTGTTTGTTGTTGTCGTTGTTTTTGTCGTCGCCCCGGGCAGAGCGAGGGGCCCTACGGGGCCTCGGCTCCTCCGCGTCGTTGTCCCCGCTCGCGCTGCGGCGTCCCGGGCCACACTGCGAGCCACAACTCGGCCAGCTGCGTCGCGTTCGCCGACCCGTGCGCCGTGTTACAGCAGCGGCAAAAAAAGGGCTTCCCTTTGAGCTCCGCTCCACTCTTGGCCGGTAGTTCTGCCCCGTGAACACAAAACTTTAACAGTCGCACACCAACGCCTGGTATACAGGAGGTCGTGGGTTCAATCCCGACCCTGTCGCCTGCAAATGTGGAGTTTGCGTATTCTCCCCGTGGTCGCGTGGATTTGTCTCTGGTTCTCCTTCCACGTTTATAAACATGCGTTTATAGTGCTGTGTTTGGGTGCTATGCATGTCCACGTGATCAGCCTCTTCCTTGAGCTATCATTTGTGATAGCCAGGTCGCTTCTGAAAGTGAGATATATAGCTCATAGGCCATACCTGGGGGAAAACATAGGATTATTGAAGAGTGAGTGCGGAGATACGGTTACCGGGTGGTTCAGAGGTCAGAGTGCTGACGTCGAGGTTCTGGGTTCGAATCCAGCTTTCAGCCACCTGTGATGAATGTACTTATTTCGCCCCATACGTAGCCAACTGTGCTAATTGGAGGTGCATGTGAAACCGGGTTGTCAAGTGTGGTGAATTGATGGTCTCAGCCTGGCAAACAATGACTGCACGCCTGTGATCCTGCCCTGTGGAGGCAGCAAGGGTTGGTGGATCACACGCGTGTCGTGTAACTCATTTCACGTGGATTTGTCGAGGAGTCATACCTTGGATTGCCAGAGAGCGGTACAGCAAACATGTGGACTCCCATCTGTTCCACCTGCATGTGATTGAGCGTTTCCCCCTCGCATGCATGGGTTTTCTCCAAGCGCTTCGGTTTATTCCCTCGTGTGTAAACACTCATTAATACAGAGAGGATGGCAGAGCTCGGGCAATTGTTGGCACCGGTTTCCTGCCTGGCTGCCTTCCTGCTTGTCTGCGGTTCCTCCTTGTGCCTCCGAGTCATGATCTGTCTTCAAGATCGAGCGAACACTGTGCGGTGTGATACAAGTTGGCATTATTATTATTTAAAAAACACGTTAATTACATTGGGTTTTGCAATTAAATTGGCTAAATTCCAGTTCTGAAAAAAAATATTTATTTGACTGTCGTGCGATTAAAAAATAATCTTGTAACTGGAAAAGGGTGGGGGCAATGTGTGGATGAGAGCTCACGTGACCAATGGATCTCAGAAGTAGTGCTGTGATGTCCGCTTCTGTGGGCCAGGCGCTGGCACGGAGGGCTGCACTGCTCTGTTAGAGATCAGAATGGATTTTCCCACTGACGCTGATAGCACAGTAGCAAAAAAACTGGAACAAAAATTTCCAATCCCTCTTTATGTTGTTGAATTGCATTCAGGATGCAGTGATTGAATTTGAAGTAAAAATAATCCGCGTGAAATTAGCTCCATGTGAACTTACACCCAATCACAATTATAACCAGGATGCCACTGTAAAACCAATGTGTAAATTCACAGCGCATAACACTTGTTTCATAACAATTCCTTATTTATCATGGAAAGTCAATCTGAGTCCAACAACTATTTTTCAGAAGGGCCCTGCATTATATATGTATATTTTCATATTTTAAGAGGTGTTCAGCCAATTAATGATGACTGTCTATACACGCGGGGTGAAAACCAGAGCACCCAGAGAAAACTAACACGTGCCTTGGGGCAGCACTCTCCCGTACAGATGGGAACAGATGGAGATCAGTCTACACTCTGCTGTACCGCCTTCATCCTGGCAAGCGAGGGTATGGAACATCGTCACCCGCGGGGAGTTTCGCAACGGTTGTACACACACCGAGTTTGTGCTGGCGTGCATGTCTATGGTTGTCCAAACAATTGTTATTGGAATATTGTATTTCTGTAGGCGGGTAAAAAAAAAACATTCGAAGACGCCTTTGTTCGAGTGCAACACATTAGTTGGTGATGCCTGCTGCTGCTGCTGAGTTTGGCAGATATTGCAACAAGCGGACATGACAAACAAAAACACAACTAAACACAAAAACACTTTTTGTGCGCTATACAAAAAAGGCCATTGCCCGAAACTTTTCCCATTTTATATTTTTCATTTTAAGGCCGCGGTGTTTGTTGACGAATGCGTTGAGTGTTTTTAGGTGACAGCGGCCTTTCTTCACAGCACAAACAAACATCAAATATAATCCATGAAGAAGGGCCATTGGCCATTATGTATTTTCTTTTGGAGCGTCGCTTCTGATGTATTTTCTGATGCGCGTGTTGAGTTTGTTTTTTTATGTTTGCAGCAGCAGCATCACAAAATAATGCGTTAAACTTTTTAGACTTTGGAATAATATGAAAAAAAGGACGACGACGATGTTACATGATTGATTGTATTGGCTCAGAAGTCAGATAGAGGCATCTGATTGGAGCTGGAGAAGCTGCGATTGGCTGTGCTCCAGATGCGATCCAGGGGCTGCTGGAGAAAAGCCTGGAGTCGGAGCCACTCCAGAGCCAGCACGCAAGGAGAGCGCTGCCACCCCCAACGCCAACCCATGACGCTTGCATCTGTTCCCCCTTTCCTACCACTCCTCCTCTCCCCCCATCCTGCCACGACTAAGACCGCAACCACGGAACAGTGACAACGATCCCCAGTGTAGCCTTGAGTGCTGCTCGCGAGCGCCCATCTATTAAAGCTGGCGCGGCACATTATATGATGGCCTGGCCAACACCACGCCCTGGCCGCCCGGGCCGCCTGTGTCTCTTCGAAGTGGCGATGTTTATAGATCGAGCCAGGCTGTCGTTTGTGGCTGAGTCGAATTAGAGACGGGGGGGGGGTGCATGATTCAGATATTCGTCACATGTTGGCCGAGAGCTGGAATCGAACTCGGGTCGCACAGCGACGAAGTTCGAAGTACAGCGCGCTAACCGCTACGCTACCGCTCCAACAATAATCGACGTTCGCTACTAAGTGGAGGCGACGTCACCACGGGACTTGTGCCATGCTAGGTGCACTACCACTCCCCACACTAACACACAAAGACCAAGATCCCTCGCATAGCCTTTAACAGACTGTTGGGGGCAAGTGCCGGTAGCGAACAGCTATGAAGGTCGGCACGGCACGTGGCGATGTTTACACACCGCAAACGATACTCATTTGAGGCTGAGTCGACCTAGGGGAGGCACACAACCGGGTCAGATAATCGTTACTGGGTGTTGGTCGTGAGCGTGAATCGAACCCGGATTGCCGGGATCGTAGCGCAGCGCGCTAACCACTACACTGCCGCTCCCCACACACTCACCCACACACACACTCGCACACTTTCGCACACACTCGCACACAGCCACACTCGGACACACTCACACACACACTCACACACACCCACACGCACACACACACCCACACTCACACTCGCACACTCTCGCACACACTCGCACACACTCACACACACCCACACACACTCGCACACACACCCACACTCGCACACACTCACCCACACACACACTCACACACCCACACACTCGCACACACATTCGCACACACTGGCACACTCACCCACACAGATACTCGCACACACTCGCAACACACACAATGACGCGCACACAAACTCTCCATCAAATCGAGTCCAGGGATCTTCCCCCTCCTCCTCCCCCCACTCCCTGCTATAACATCCAACGGGGCGGTGTGGTTAGGGTGGTGGGGGTAAGTCGAGGAGGATGGGGCGTGAAGGAGGAGGATGAGGGACGGTGTCCCTTTAAGAGGCGGCTCCTTGCAGCGAGAGCACCCCGGTGCGCCTTTAAGTGCGAACGAGGCGCGATTGGGTGGACGCGAGGCTCGGGATCCGCGCGGCGCACGTGCGTCGCGTCGCCCCGCCGGTATAAGAGCGGCCTCGCTGTCAGCACGCGAGCGAGCGGAGTCGAGTGAGTGGACAAATGAATGAGAGAGCCTGCTTCGGAGCAAAAAGCCGGAGTCGTGCAGCCTGCTACGACCCTGCCAGCAGCGGCAGGCGCAAGCAGCAACGACTGCTGTAGCAGCAGCGGCGGCGGCGGCGGTTGTCGATTGAACAGCTCTGCTAGCATCCATCGGCAAAGCAAAGCATCAACCGGTAGCGTTATCTGTTTGAATGCATGCATGTATGTATGCACCGTATATAATTGTGTGGCTATTGTGCGCGTATCGTCATCAGAAGTGCTGTGGTGGTAGAAGGCAGCGGTGCAGATTGAACAGTTATCGTGAGCGGCGTTGTCATCTGTTGAGTTCTGTATGCTTGTTTTTGTGGATGTAGTATTATTATCAGCAGCATAGGATTCAATTGCAGGTTGAGCATTACCAGCAGCAGTAGCATCATAATCAGCTTGAATGTAAGTTGTCTGCAGCAGCAGCCGCAGCAGGAGTAACACTTTCATTAGCAACAGCAGTATCAGTCGCATTACCGAAGTCATCATCATCATCTGCAGAAGTAGCAGCAGCAGCAGAAGTAGCAGCAGCAACAGAATCGGCAGCCGCAGTAGCGGTACGATAGCAATCAACTCCAGCATCAGGAGCACCATCATCAGCAGCAGCAGCAAGCGGCACTATCTTCTTCATCATCATCATCATCAGCAGCTTTCAGAAGCGGCATTGTACAGCTATGGCGTGGCGCGGGTCGCACAATAGCAGCGCGCGGCGGAGCCAGCGTGAGCAGCAGCTGAGTCAGCAGCAGCTGTAGCAGCAGCAGCTGTGAGCAAGCAGCTGTAGCGGGTTTAGTTGCAGCACCGGTTGGCCAACTTGTCCCACCTCCTCGTCGTCTTGCACCGCGGAGTCCGCGCGTTAGGGCCCCGTGCGCGCCCTCGTACCGCACCAGCGATGCTGCTGCTGCTGGAATCGCTCCTCCTCTGGTTCGCGTCCTGCGCCGCTCCCGCCGGCGCGGCCAAGTCGCTTACGGAGCGCGACGTGACGGTGCCTGTACGCGTCGATGGCCACCAGGGACCCTTTCCTACTACAACAACAACAACAACGACAACACGAGGAGACTACAGCAACAACAACGACGATGGTGGTGGCGTTCCAATGTCGGAGTCGGCCTCTTACGCGCTGCGCGCTTTCGGCCAAAGTTTCCGCCTGGACATCGTGCGCGACCACAGCTTCATCTCGCCCGCGTTCACCGTGGCGCACGTGGGCGCGCCCCAGCGAGGCGGCGGGGCGGACGAGCTCGCGCGCGCCGTGCGGGAGTCGGGAGCGAACCTGAGCCACTGCTTCTTCGCGGGCCACGTCAACGGAGACGCGAGCGCGACGGTGGCGCTCAGCGCGTGCGGGGGACTGCGCGGCGCGTTCCGTCACGGGCGGCACCAGTATTTCATCCGGCCCGAGACACCGGGGGAGGAGGAGGAGGGGGGAGGGGGTGGTGTTGCTGCTGCTGGTGACGACGACGACGACGATGATGGAGGACTTGGTGGGTTGAACTCTTCGAGCGCTGTCTCGGCGCGACGTCGGCACGTCATCACGCGCAGAGGAGTCTCGCAGATGTTCGCCGACATCGAGGACGACGACGGCGAGGACGACGACGTGCAACGATGTGGCGTCAACAGCACCGCGTTCGTCGGCCCCTCGCGCGAATTCCTGGAGCGCCTCGGTCGCTCGAGGAACGAGGCAACGGAAGGCGGAGCGGCAGCAGCAGGAGGAGGAGATGGTGGCGTCTTTAGGAACCCTTGGACCGCGGCGCGCTCCAAGCGCTTCGTGTCTCTGCCGCGCTACGTCGAGACGCTGGTGGTGGCCGACGAGGCGATGGCCTCGTACCACGGCGCGGACCTCAAGCACTACCTGCTCACGCTCATGGCCATCGCGGCGAGACTCTACAGGCACCCGAGTATTCGCAACGCCGTGCACCTGGTGGTGGTGAAGCTGCTCGTCATCAGCAACGAGGAGAAGGGCCCCAAGATCTCGAGCCACGCGGCGCTCACGCTGAGAAATTTCTGCGCCTGGCAAAAGAAATTCAACAAGGGCAGCGACAAGCACCCAGAATACTACGACACGGCTATCCTCTTCACCAAACAGGTACCACCACCCCCCTCGCTGACCCCCCGCCCCCCCACTGACTCCCACTGCCCTGCCAACCCCTCCCCATCACACAAAGTAGAGGCGCCATCCCTGCAATGTGTTGCTCACGCCACTGCTGTCCAAGGGCGGCTTCGACTCAGAAGAAGATCCTGAAGACCTGGATAGCGCCTCTCTCCGATGTTGTTGGGCGTACTCGTCCATCCTGACCAGAGGCGTCTTGGTTGTGCAGCAGTCTAGGGGCGTCTTGGGTGGTGGGGTGTGCTGGTGGTGGTGGTGGTTTAATGAAGTGCCCATTGCTTCAGCTGTCGCGCCCGGAGATCGAAACTGCGAATCGAACTTGAAATATCCGGGTTGATTACGCAGTGCGCTAATCGCTGCACCACCGCTCCAATCCTGGAAATCATAAAGTTTATATTATTCACTTAGGGCGCGCTGCAGTGCCAGTTACTGGTTAGCATCACCACTGGGGATACAAAGGCGACCGGGCGTGGTGCTGGCAACCCATCCTCTCGTGTGCCGTGCCGGCCTTTTATAGGTGCTCGCTAACAGCACTTGCCCCAACAGTCTGTTCAGTCTACGTCGGGAGTCTTCGTCTTGTCGTGCTGGTGAGCTGCACACACTGCGCCTCGACATTCACAGGTGGCCAAGTCTACCTCCAGCGCGGAAGGTTAACAATGGACACTTATTATTATTATTAAATTCACCCCCCCCCCCCCCTCCATCGTGTGTGACCAGGCAGCAGTATAAACGTGTCCCGCCACAGTTAGTCCATCGGCAGGTTGCTCGTGGTGGGGTAAAGTGTGGGTACTGCCACCTCTTCCCAGACGTCTAACCAGGCGCGGGAGAGGTCAAATGCCCTCTACAGGAAGCTGGCCACGGCTCTTACTATTGCGCTGATCACTGCGCCACCGCTCCACCCCTCAGTTGCGGTTATCATTATTTCATTCATTATCATTAATCAAGACTCGCTTTTTTGACAGGATCCTAAACCCGCTTGCCGTCCTGCAATGTCTTGGGGCTCTCACACCACGTGACTCCCATCTCTGCGCGGCCCACCAACCCGTTCCTCAGGCGCTGGATTCACAGGCGCGTGCCGCTGACGCGCTCGGCATATTTGCCCTTCGCGTTCAATCGGAGCACTGTGGGTTTCGATGGAGAGCGCTTGCCAAGAGCACGTCTGGCAAAGTCAGCAGCGTTGGCTTTGACAAGCATCGCTCTGCTGATGAGACCCTCAAGGGCTGAACCGGTCCAGAGGTTCGCTTCGTGAAATTAGCTGCAGGATAATATTGGTCTAGAAAGCCAACAGGGCGATGACTGATACACAGAGACACTGAACGGGCATTTGCTTGTTCTGTATATTGCTGTATGGTTTTTTTCTTTCTCAAAAGCTCGGCCACGAACTGAAATGATCGGATTCTCGATGACAACCCACAATCAATCCCAGGACCGACCTGCGACTCTGGGACACGCGAACTTTGCGAAGGCTGAGAGTCCGCCCTACACAACGATCAATTCAGACTTTGGGCACCTCAACCCCTGATACTGCAACAAAGACAAAAATCCCCCGTGTAGCCTTAACAGACTGTAGGGGCAAGTGCTGCTAGAGAGCACCTGCGAAGGCCGGCATGGCACACGAGGGGGTGGGTGGCCAACACCACGCCCGGTCGCCTTTGTCTCCCCAGTGGCGATGTTTACACATAGCACCAAGTACTCATTTGATGCTGAGTGTACCTAGGGGAGGCCCAGGACCGGTTCATATAACCGTGACTCATGTCGGCTGTGAGCGGAATCGAACCCGGGTAGCACGGTTCACACACACACGGCACTCTAACCCGGGTAGCACGGTTCACACACACCGAGCATTCTAACCCGGGTAGCACGGTTCACACGCACACACACACAACATTCTAACCCCGGTAGCACGGTTCACACACACACAGCAGTCTAACCCGGATAGCACGGTTCACACACACACACACACAGCAGTCTAACCCGGATAGCACGGTTCACACGCACACAGCATTCTAACCCGAGTAGCACGGTTCACACACACAGCAGTCTAACGCGGGTAGAACGGTTCACACACACAGCATTCTAACCCGGGTAGCACGGTTCACACACACACAGCAGTCTAACCCGGGTAGCACGGTTCACACACATACACAGCATTCTTACCCGGGTAGCACGGTTCACACACACAGCATTCTAACCCGGGTAGCACGGTTCACACGCACACAGCATTCTAACCCGTGTAGCACGGTTCACACACACACACACAGCATTCTAACCCGGGTAGCACGGTTCACACACACACAGCATTCAAGCCCGGGTAGCACGGTTCACACACACAGCATTCTAACCCGGGTAGCACGGTTCACACACACATGGCATTCTAACCTGGGTAGCACGGTTCACACACACACACACACGGCATTCTAACCCGGGTAGCACGGTTCACACACACACAGCAGTCTAACCCGGGTAGCACGGTTCACACACACACACACACAGCAGTCTAACCCGGGTAGCACGGTTCACACACACACACACAGCATTCAAGCCCGGGTAGCACGGTCCACACACACACAGCATTATAACCCGGGTAGCACGGTTCACACGCACACAGCATTATAACCCGGGTAGGACGGTTCACACACAAACACACAGCAAGTATAACCTGGGTAGCAGGGTTCACACACACACAGCATTATAACCCGGGTAGCACGGTTCACACACACAGCATTCTAACCCGGGTAGCACGGTTCACACACACAGCATTCTAACCCGGGTAGCACGGTTCACACACAGCATTCTAACCCGGGTAGCACGGTTCACACACACGGCATTCTAGCCCTTACCCAAATCAAGGCGCCGGTTATCGTCAAATCTCAGAGGCTAAGCAGGCATTGAGCCTGGTTAGTGCTTTGGATGGGTGACCACTACCTCCGGGAGTATCGGCGTAGTCCCTCGATGCGGCGCTTTGTCTTTGTTTCCGGGTGCTCTGGAATCCTCCCCACGTGGAGTCACAATCAAATTATTAATGGTCACAAGAGAGGGTTGTCTTGGGTCAGATCGCGTAAATATAAATGCGTCGTTAAACCCGCCACCATCCGACACAGCCAACTAGTGAGACTTGTCACGCAAACATAACATGCCACCTCCATACTAGTACAGCGCACGTGTCGCCAGTACTAGTGACGAGTTGGCATGTTCTGTTTGCGTGACAAGCCTGACTAGCCTGACTAGTTGGCTGTGTCGGGTGGTGACAATTTTAGCGACACATCTGTATTTACGCGATCTAACCCAAACACATGTGATATGGATAAGATTGTTCGTGAAAGACTACTTCGCGTTAAACTGAATTATGAATGGCATTGACCAAACATCCCGATGTAGCAGGACCCTCTTTAAAAGGAGCTCTGAGAATCGGGACATCTTTCCTGGGTAATTCAAGGGAATTATTATTATTATCTGGAGGAGTGGTGGCACAGTGGTTTGCTATGAACCTTGAGCTATGAACCAGCTGCCCTGATATCCGATTACCGACCACGGCTCAACCGGTTTGAGTCCTCCACCCTTCACCAACCCGCACGAAACAACGGGGTGAAGTATGGTCAAACGACTAACGGGGCGTGGGGAGGCCTTCCTCCACCAGTGGACTGACAACTGTGAACAGTTATTCGACGATAATTATTCCCATAAACGAGCACTTTAGACGGCATTCTTCCAAGCATGCCCGGTATGAGATGTAAAACCGCTTCTAAAGAAACAATATTGGCAACTCCCTTTCTCCTGCTTCCCTCTCTCTCTCTCTCCCAACCTCCCTCCGCTCCTCATCCTCTCCTCCCTCATCCTCGCTCTTCATCTCTACCAGCGAAAGAGAGAGAGAGACGAATCTTGCCTCTGTGGCATCGCTGCTCGGGGCTTGAAGCGGCCGTCTTCCCATGTGCTGACTGGCCAGGGCTCGTCTGACCACAGCTGCGGATTTGGAGCGATGGTGACGCAATGCAGTCGGCTAATAAACTACGTACGCCCAGCTACGGCGACCCTCGCAGGCTGTCAGGCAATTGGCCGATGAAACTCAGAAAGTTGAAAGCCAGTCCACAGAGTTTTTGCCGGCTTAAACAAATGCAGCTGGATAACGCTGGTGTGCGATAGCCAATGAATGAGCCGTTGGACTATAACGCGTTTGCATGTTGGAAACTTGCTTAAATCTGCTACGGCCGAGTCCACCAGTCAATTCTATGTGTTACAAAGTTGTCAGCGATTATCCATTTACCCAGCCAAGCCGATAGCCGAGTATATCGATGGGCCTTGCGATGAAACACGCCGCCTTGACTTAAAGAAGCTCCCAGCGTGCGGAAATTAGACATCAGACATCCAACACGCAGCAGTTAGCGCGACCGCGCAACTGAACCCTCCGCTTGCCACCAAAAGCGACTGGAACCTGGATTCGAACCCAGGGTCGCGGCGACGCTTCCGGCCTGCGAGGCGTCCCGGTCACCCTCCCGTGGCGGCCGATTTTTTTCTCGAACGCTGGACATCTGTGGCATAAAAAAAAAAACAGCTTCGCAGCTCATGGGATTGCTCCAGTCCCAGTGCAGCTTGTGACGCCTCCTCTCCCGCCAGGACATCTGCGGGGCGCAGACGTGCGACACCCTGGGCATGGCCGACGTCGGCACCATGTGCGACCCCAAGCGGAGCTGCTCCGTCATCGAGGACGATGGCCTCCCGTCAGCCTTCACCACGGCCCACGAGCTCGGTGAGGAGAAGGAGGAGGAGGCGTGGGGGAAGAGGAGGCGGAGGGCACGCACCACGCTGCTGATTGGTGGATCATCGTCGTCGTCGTCCTCGTGTTTTTTTTTGTAAAAATGACGATGATGCCATCATTGTGATGTCATCATGAACTCTCGTCGTCATCATCATCATCGCTGTCATAATGACGATCGAGAACAATATAATCATCAGCAGCAGCAGCGTTGGCAACATTACATTTGTCAACGAATATTGGTGGATCGTCATGCCCCGAGCATTACGGTGGCAGAGGGGGTAGGGGGAGCGATGCTCCCATTTGTGTGAGCCTTACGTCACTTGGGCTGAAAGGTAGCTCCGTGATATACACTTCCGCGGGCTGTGCTCGAACAGGAAGGGTCCCAACCGCTCGCAAAAATTGGATTCTTCTTTGTCTCATGCGTGACGCTGATAGCACAATCAGGTTGAAATTCGGGGAACAGAAGGTTAAACAAAATGCAGTTTTACTTTGACGAGAGCCGCTGATGAGATGATAGTGAATTCTGGTAAAGTAACGCTGGGAAGCCGAGTGACATTTAAAATCTGGTGTCAAGCACTCATGAGACAATTAACTCCTATTCACTCGACTGTAAAGTGCTGTTTGTGAGCACCTATTAAGACCGAAATGACACAAAATATTGCAGCGTGGCTAGCACCACACCCACCCATGTCTCCTCACACAGTGCACCAAGTACTTATTGAAGCCTCAGTCAACTTAGAGGAGGCCGCAGGACAGTTTCAGACCATGGATAGGTTCAGACATTACGATAACTTGTTGTTATAATGATGATGACGACACTGATTACATTGGTGATGCCAATACTGACAGTGATGACGACAAAGACGTCGATGATGACGATGCTGATGACGACACTGATTACGTCCGTCCGTGACGATGACGACGACAATGATGATGAAGTCGATGATGACGATGATGATGACGACACTGATGACGTTGGTGTGTGACGAAGAGGGGCGTGACGATGACGTGCGTGGCGGTCTCCCCCCGGCAGGGCACGTGTTCAACATGCCGCACGACAACGTGAAGGCGTGCGAGCGCGTGGCCGGCAAGCAGGGCGAGCACCACATGATGTCGCCCACCATCACGCACGTGGACCGCGCGCAGCCCTGGTCGGCCTGCAGCGCAGCCATCATCACCGACTTCCTCGACAACAAGCACGGCGAGTGATATGGAGGTGGTTGTGGTGGGGGCGGTGGGGGGTGGGGGAGGTAAGGCCCGCTGAGCGGTATGTATTTTTTTTGTTCACAAGCGACCTGGCCACAAATGACGCCTCGACAAAGTGGCGTGTCGTCACGTGGACGTTTGCGCAGCCAAACACTCCAAACGCGTGGTGACGTCGATTCTAAATGTGAAGGCAAACACCGGAGGACCCAGAGAAGAATCCACACGACCACGGGGAGAGAGACGACGAAAACTCAAAATATACAGCAGCAGCAGCAGGCGTCGGGGTCGGGATCGAAACCATGACCTCCCGTATACCAGGCGAGGTAGTTAACATCTCACAGCCACCGTGGTGCCCTAGATTAGGGGAGACGCCCGAGAGATGCGGGTAAATAGTGAGGAGGTGCGGGGGAGACTTTAGGTGAGATACGGGGGATACTGGAAGATACGGGGAGATATGGGGAGTTGCCAAAGAGACACGGTAAATACGGTGATATACAAGGAAAGGGGAAACTGACTCACACAGAGACCCCTAAACTCGCACAGAGACCTACAGACACGCAGAGATTCCTAGCCTCCCACAGAGATCAACAAACAGAGAATCCTATCCTCCCTACAGAGACCAACAGACACGGAGAGACTCCAAGCCTCGCACGGAGATCCACAGACAAACAGAGAATCCTAACCTCCCTACAGAGACCCACAGACACGCAGAGATTCCAAGCCTCGCACAGCCAGCCATAGACTTACTTAGACACCTCATAGATTCACTGTCCTCCCTTGCCACATGGAGCGATTGCCCACAACGTCTGAGGGCTTAGCGTGAAGGGAAAGACATTGCGATGTCTGGCACAACGCTCTCTCTCTGTCTCTCACCTGGCCAAGCAGGCCCGTCCCAGTCTCCCCGGGCGACATCCCAGCCACCCACTGTTCACATTTACGGCAAATGGACAGTTTTACTGCTCTTACGTTTAATTTCAAATTCGGCGTGATGGCGCGGCCCGGTGGCCCCTGTGGCTCAAAGCTTTCCATTGTCTTAGAAGTGCTGAGCCAGCTCAGCTGAGAACCTGGGTTCAACTCCGAGGGTAGGGTGTGCCTTTTTGTGCGTTTGGTTTTTTAGGCAGCTCGTAATGAATGGACACGTCAAAGTCACCGAGCCAGAACTGCTGACATCCCACTGGCTTCAAAGCCTTCGGGGTTTGAGGTCTTTCTAAGCGGGGACACAGCTCTAAGCCAGAACGCCCGGGGATTCTGAGTTCACGCTCTGTGACCGTGTCTCTCTCTGTCTCCCCGACCCCCCCCCCCGCCACCGAGCATTCATGATGACGGTGGTGAAACACTTTCAGTTGCCTCCGAGTTGATCCAGCTGCCTATGCCAGTTGGATCAGTTCGGTGAAAGGGGTTTCAGAAGGAGTGGAGTCCGATGGAAACGAAGTTCCGGAAATAAGAATGCTTGTTGATGATGCTGTGAGGATGGCTGATAATCATATTTGTGGTGGTGATGATGCTGATGATATGGGTTGTGCTAATGATGATGCTGATGATAATATGGGTGGTGGTGATGATGCTGATGATGCTCCGTGTGGTGATGCTGTGCTCGGTGATGCAATGCATGTGTGATTCCTGAGCATGCAGTCTCTGGCTCACACATACATTTAAACATCCCCCATATAGCCTTTAACAGACTGTTGGGGCAAGTGCTGTTCACGAGCACCTATGAAGGCCGCCATGGCATACGAGGGTGGTTGGTGGCCAGCACCATGCCCGACCGCCTTTGTCTCCCCGGTGGCGATGTTTACACACGGTACGAGGTACTAATTTGAGGCTAAGTTGACCTAGGGGAGGCCCAGGACCGCTTCAGATAATCCTCACCGGTGTTGGCCTTGAGCGGGAATCGAACTCGGGCGACCAGGTTTCGTAGCGCAGCGGCGCTAACCGCTTCACCACCGCTCCCCTCGTTACCACTGACGCAAGCACGCGCACAAACACGCGCGTAGACCACCCTCACCCACCGCTCATCCCCTCGCTCTCCCCTCCACACCCTTCCCCCCGGTCCCCCCCCCGTACAGGCGACTGCCTCCTGGACGAGCCGACGAACGCGCTGACTCCTCCGGGCGAGCTCCCCGGTGTCTCTTACCCGGCGGAGCGCCAGTGCGAGCTGGCGTTCGGGCGCGGCTCGCGCCTCTGCCCGTACGCGGAGGCGTGCGCCAAGCTGTGGTGCACGGGCCGCGTGTCGGGACAGCTCGTGTGCCAGACGCGCCACTTCCCCTGGGCCGACGGCACGGCCTGCGCCTCGGGCCGCTGGTGCATGCGGGGCCAGTGTACCGAGAAGGGCGAGGGCAAGCGTGGCAAGGTGGGCGCGTTGGAATGAGACCGATTTAAATGTTTGTTGTTATATATTATTATCGCGGGTGGGTTGCGCGCGCCCTTGCAGGCGTGCACGGCGAATCCAGTCGACTGGCAAACGGTGGCGGGAAATGAAGAAGCAAAGGAAAGCGGCGATCGCCCGAGTCGTTGTACCCGTCACGAAGAAACACAACGCCGAAAAGCCGTGCTCGAACCCAATGTTCGAGTCCACAAACTGGGTTGGGGTTTGGGGCTAGGTTAAGGAGCATGGGTTCGAGCGTGAAATTCGACTTTGGTTTTGGATTAGAATTGCTTCTGCGCACGAAATTACGATGATTAGCCGCGATTCACCGCCGCTCAAATGGGCGAGCACGTGCTCAGGATATCCTTCTTGGCCACGTGTTTGCCGCCATGCCGCACGTTCGTTTCTTCGCTTTGCAGCGCTCGTCCAAGCTGGTGGCGGTGGCTACGCGCGTGGCCTCCACTCCAGCGCTGTGATGGCAGCTGCGAGGGTTGGTGAATCACACGAATGTTGTGAAACGTCCCTTCCCGTGGGCGTCGGGCTGCCACACTCTGGCGCGCCAGGATCCACGCGGCACAGAGAGAGTGTGGACTAATCCCCATCCGTTCTGTCTGTGCGGGGATCGAGCGTTGCCCCCCTCGCGTGCACGTGTGGGTTTTCTCCAGGTTCTCCGGTTACCTCCCACGTGCGTGAACGCTCGTTAATTGGCTGACAGCATCTTAAAATGTTCAACTCTCCCGAGAAAAGAGTCATTGTGGCTTTCCTGGAGACATCATCGTAACAGTGATTATTAAAATGTTTCATCGCTTGCCGTCATTGTTATGATATCAACATCATCATCATGTTCAGTGTTATCATCATTTTCATCATCACTAGCAGCATCATCATCGTCATCGTTATCATTGTTGTCAGCATTGTCATCAATGCCATAATCTTCACTATCAATGTCATCAGAAGCATCATTGTTGGCATAATTGTCATCATTATTGGCGTTATCATCCATCAGGGTTATTATAAAATGCTTTATCCTAACCTGAACTCTCCCTCCACTTCCCTCCGGTCTCTTCCCGATCCTTCCGTCCCTCTCCCCCCTCCACCCCCTGACCTCAAGGCGCCCGTGGACGGGAGCTGGGGTCGCTGGGCTCCGTACGGAGAGTGCTCGCGCACGTGCGGCGGCGGCGTGCACCTAGCCCGGCGCGAGTGCGACTCCCCGAGCCCCGCACACGCGGGGGCCTACTGCACGGGCCCGCGTGTCAAGTACCGCTCGTGTGGCCTCGCGCTGTGCCCTAGCGGGCCCGGTACGCGCTGCTCACCCACACTCAGCCACGCTCAGCCACACTCAGCCACGCTCACCGACACTCAGCCACACTCACTCACACTCACTCACACTCACTCATCCACGCTCAGCCACACTCAGCCACACTCAGCCACGCTCAGCCACACTCAGCCAGACTCACTCACACTCAGCCACGCTCACCTACGCTCACCCACACTCACCCACGCTCACTCACACTCACTCACCCACACTCAGCCACACTCACACTCACCTACACTCACACTCACCCATACTCAGCAACACTCACCCACACTCACACTCACCCACACTCAGCCACGCTCAGCCACACTCAGCCACGCTCACCCACACTCACTTACACTCACTCACTCACACTCATTCACCCACACTCAGCCACGCTCAGCCACACTCAGCCACGCTCACCCACACTCACTCACACTCACTCACGCTCACCCACACTCACCCACGCTCAGCCACGCCAGCCACACTCACCCATACTCACCCACACTCACCCACACTCACCCTCACTCACCCTCACTCACTCACACTCATTCACCCACACTCAGCCACGCCCAGCCACACTCACCCATACTCACCCACGCTCACCCACACTCACCCTCACTCACTCACACTATTTCACCCACACTCAGCCACGCCCAGCCACACTCACCCATACTCACCCACACTCACCCACACTCACCCTCACTCACTCACACTCATTCACCCACACTCAGCCACGCTCAGCCACACTCAGCCACGCTCATCCACACTCACTCACGCTCACCCACACTCACTCACACTCAGCCACACTCAGCCACACTCACCCACACTCACCCACGCTCAGCCACACTTACCCAAACTCACTCACGCTCAGCCACACAACAACAACAACCGCCATTCGCCACTAAGTGGCGGTGACGTCACCACGACGCTTGTGCCAGGCCATGTGCACCTTGAGGCCACGTGAAGTGTCGAACGCCCGCTGGCAGGAGGTCACGGGGCAGACCCAGGTGCCACGGGTCGACTGACTGGCTGATGCACCACCTGTGCCCCCTACTGTGCCAACCTGTTGTGCTTTAGCCACCCGGCGCTCCGCTCGTTGTTGTGAGCATCGCTCCTCCGCTCTCCGTTGTTGTTGGAGGGCGACTGCCTCCAACTGCCCAGTAGCATCCTTCACGAGCCTCCTCCACAGAGGCCGATCTTGACACCGCTGGTACCAGTCATCGGCAAGTCCACTCAGCTCCACGTCCTCCTGTACCACATCACTCCATCTCTTCTCTAGCCCGTGCCGCGCCCGTTTAGCCCCCTCAATCCGGCCGAACAAAAGCTGTTTCGGCATGCGGTGGCTGGGCATGCGGGCTACATGACCCAGCCAACGCAGCCTTGCCTGCTGGAGGAGCTCACTGATGGGACCTTACCCAGATCGTTCAAGGATTTGTGAGCTCCTCACACAATCCAGCCTGGTTAAACCCAGGATGGATCGTAGGCAGGCTAGCCTAAATGTTTCTAACCGGCGAAGATGTTCTATTAATGGGGTCCACGTTTCGCAAGCGTAGAGAAGGGAGGGAATGACGGTGGCCGAGAAGACCTGAAGCTGAGTGCGGAGCGACAGACCAGGTAGCTTCCACACAGCGTTACGCAACCAATGAAAAGATATTGCCGCTCGACTGATTCGCAGTGAGACCTCTACTATTAAACTGGAGCCGGTCATAAGCACACTGTCCAGGTATGGGAAACTCTCCACTCTCTCCACAACTGCCCCATCACCAATTGGGAGTAGTGGGGGTGGAGTGTCCGATGGTACAAAATACCCAGGCAGGTGCTTAGTTTTGGTGGGGCTGATGGGAAGGCCCCATCTCTTAGTGGCACGCTCCAGTCTCAGCAGCAGCGTCTCCAACTCCTCCTCTGAATGAGCAGCTATTACCAAATCATCGGCATACATAACGTGGTTGAGCAATAGAGGAGCAGTGCGCCTTGACCGCACCCAGGCATCGATCAGCCTCCCATTATATCTATACCAAATGGAGATTCCCCCAGTACAGCTATTGAAGGCTTCACTTTAGGTTGGAATGGGGTCCTGGGTGTACACCCACCACCGGAGTGGAAGAATGGCAGGCGCATCTTACAGATGACTAGTCGATGGTCAGAGGGCAGATCAGCTACACTCACCCACACTCACTCACGCTCACCCACTCTCAGCCACACTCACCCAAACTCAGCCACACTCACCCACACTCAGCCACACTCAACCACACAAAGATCCCTCGTATAGCCTGTAACAGACAGTTTGGGCAAGTGCTGTAAGTGAGCACCCATGAAAGCCGGAACGGCACACGACGGGGTGGGTAGCCAGCACCGCGGCCGGCTGCCTTTGTCTCTCCAGTGGCGATGTTTTTACACACCGAAACAGCTACTCATTTAAGGCTGAGTTGATCTAGGGGAGGAGGCCCAGGACTGGTTCAGATAATCTTCACTGGTGTTGGCCGTGAGCGGGAATCGAACTAGCGTCGCCGAGTTCGTAGCGCAGTGCGCTAAACGTGAGACGTCCGATCCCCGCACACACTCACCCGCACCCACCCCACACATCTGACAACCTTTCGCATTCAGTTGCTCTCACTCACGTTCGCTCGCTCTCTCACTCAAGCGAACACTCAGCCACTAGCACTCTTCTGTGCTCACAAAGACTTGCTCGTCAGCTCGCTTCCAACACTTGCTCGTTCACCCACACACTCGCACGCCCGCGCACAAATTCACGCACGAGCTCACCCAGGCCCACACGCATGCACACACCCACGCAGTCACTTGCACACTGTGCTGAGTGTTGTGTTATTCGTGCTGGTGCATCACTGCCAACGCTGCTGCAGTAGCAGCAGCAGAAGTCACGGAATGTTGTATTTCACTTCATAAGACAACAATCCTGGGGAAATCATGACAGGTGGCGACCCTCACCGATGACCCCAATGTCAATGATATTCCTCCTCGAAGACACGGGTGGAAAGTTAAAGCACAGTCGTGCGATTGTGGTCACACCGTAGAGTAAAACCATTGCAGTCTGCGCTCCTTTAACGGAGGAGGAAGAGCAAAGACGACACGAACTCTCTCTCTCTGCCGAAGCCCTCTCGTCGTGGCCAGCAGCAACAAGATCTCGATATCCGGCATCGAGCTCCTGGAAACAATTCATGCCGGCCACATGAATCACTCGCAAGGACCACGGTAGACACCCCCCCAACGTCTTCGTCTGCCCCCTGACCTCCCCCCATCCCCTTCCACCACCACCGCCACCATCACCTATTTTTATAAATATTTGTGATTTTATTTTAGTTTACCCGGTAAGGCCCACTTAGCTATATACGGCTCTTTTTCAGAAGCGACCTGGCCACAAACGATAGCTCAACGAAGTGGCCTTATCGTGCAGACATTTAAAGCAGCCAAAATGCTCTAAACGCGCGTTTCTAAATGTGGATGGAAAAACCGGAGGACCCGGAGAAAAATCCACGCGACCACGAGGCTTCAGGGTCAGGACCAAAGCCCACGACCTCCTGCGCACTAGGCGAGGTCGTTAACATCTCGCCACCACCTCTTCCCCCACCCCCACCCCGCGCCGGCAGACGCGAAGAGCTTCCGCGAGGAGCAGTGCGCCTCGTTCGACGGACAGCGCGTCCACTCCAACGGCCTGAGCCCCGGCGTGCGCTGGCTGCCCAAGTACTCGGGGATCAGCGCCAAGGACCGCTGCAAGCTGGTGTGCCGCGCCAACGGCACCGGCTACTACTTCGTGCTGGCGCCCAAGGTGAGCGCGCGGGGTGAGAGGGGCGGGGCGAGGGGTGCGGAGGGGCGGTGGCGGTGGGGGAGGCCAGCCGCCAAGTGACGATGAGCAGTGTCGGAATCATCGTCATCATCATCATGAAACAAAGCTATGATTCTTGACTTAAAGCTTTCGTGACTGCAATAATTCATATTCTTTGGGTCTTTCGGTAAAGTCACGTAGATAGGTTCAGAATAATAAAATCGCTTGTGTTGCGATCGAAACGTCGTAGTTTTAGTTTTTTTTATTATTCTGAACCTATCTACGCAACTTTATCGAAAGACCCAAAGAATATAAAGCTATGATTTTTATTTGACCAGGTGTGAACCCCACTGAGCTGCTACGTAGCTCGTTTTCAGAAGCGACCTGGCTATCGGAAAATCATAGCTCAAAGAAGTGGCTTATCATGGTCATCATCATGTGGAAATGTATAGCAGCCAAAAAGTCTGACGGTGTGATGTTGATTCTAAATGTGGAGGGAAAACCCGTAGGGCCCATAGAAAAATCCACGTGACCACAGGCAGAGAGAGAACATGCAAACTCCGAATAAACAGGCGCCAAGGTCTGGATTGGACGCACGACCTCCTGTATACCAGGCGATGTCGTTGACATTTCACCACTGTAGCCACAGCCCGCGACGAGAACTATACTGGACGCGGTATGCCGGGTTGGGAAAATATTTACTGGGTCACCGGTAGACTCGAGTAGGTGACACGTGACGGGGGTGTGGGGATCTTCGTCTTCGTCCCGTCTCACCGTTACCTCTCACGCATCCGACGTCGTCCCGCTTGTCACGCCCGCCGGCGCAGGTGGTGGACGGCACGAGGTGCGGGCCCGACACGTCGGACGTCTGCGTGCAGGGCCGCTGCGTGCGCGCCGGCTGCGACGGGCGGCTGGGCTCGCGCGCTCGCCTCGACGTGTGCGGAGTGTGCGGTGGGGACGCCTCGGCCTGCCGCAGGGTCTCCGGCACCTTCACCAAGGCGCAGTGAGTGACGGTTGCCACGGCGGCAGAGACGGCGGCGGAGACGGCATCATCATCATCATCGTCATCGTCGCAGCGTCGTCATCATCATCAGCAGTAGCAGCAGCATCGTCAGTGTCATCGTCAGCAGCACTAGCAGTGGCGGCAGCATCATTTTCAGTGGCGTGATTGGCAGCAGCATCGGCAGCAATATTAACCGCATCAGTAGCAGGAGTTTTTTCGTGATGTTCATCGTCACAAGTGGCATCACCAGCGTCAGCTTCTGTATCAGGGCCTGTGGCAGCATCTTCATCATCACCATCATCGAAGTGTGCTGACTTCACAATCCAGTCGTCAATTAACTCGCCCGCACGCATCTGTCGTGAGACGTTAAGACCCGGGGCTGAGATCAGAATCCAGGGCCGGATCAAGGCACGGGGCTTTAGGGGCTGCATCCCAGGGGCCTCTGCCAGCTGGAGGGCCTCCAGAGATGAAGTGAAGAGTTATTTCACTTGTGAATGCTGAATTTTATTTGTTGTTAGCCTTGTAAAAAATACATTTTCTTTTTCTTTAACTTTGTTTTCTTTTTGAAAATATTACTGGGGGGGCCTCACAGTACCTGTAGCCCAGGGGCCTCACAGTACCCGTAGCCCAGGGACCTCACAGAACCTGTAGCCCAGGGGCCTCATGGTTCCTGTAACCCAGGGGCCTCACAGTGCCTGTAGCCCAGGGGCCTCACAGTACCTGTAGCCCAGGGGCCTCACAGTAACCGTAGCCTAGGGGCCTCACAGTGCCTGTAGCCCAGGGGCCTCATGGTTCCTGTAGCCCAGGGGCCTCACAGTAGCTGTGGCCCAGGGGCCTCACAGTACCTGTAACCCAGGGGCCTCACAGTACCTGTAGCCCAGGGGCCTCACAGTACCTGTAGCCCAGGGGCCTCACAGTACCTGTAGCCCAGGGGCCTCACAGTTCCTGTAGCCCAGGGGCCTCACAGTTCCTGTGGCCCAGGGGCCTTCAATATCTTAATCCGGCCCTGGCAAAATCCGACTTTTTATTTATACCTGAGGAATCCGATGAGCTGTGAGGCTCTTTTTCACAAATGTCTAGACCATAGGCTCCAAAACCCGGAGCCACGAGCCCGCGCTCCTCACAGTCCATCATCGCCCCACACCGGAGGAGCAGATATCGCGTGCCACGTGACAGCCTACGGCAGAGGGGGCCCCATGTTCTTCATTGCACCAGGGCCCACGCCCAACACGCACCGCGCACGTCTCACCCTCGCCTTACCACCGCCTTGCCACCGCAGGTACGGCTACAACTACATAGTGGCGGTACCGGCGGGTGCCACCAACCTGGACGTGCGCCAGCGCGGCTACCAAAGCCTCAAGAACGACGACAACTACCTCGCCGTGCGCTCGGGCCGCGACGGGCGCTACCTCCTCAACGGCCACTACGTCATCTCGACGTCGGAGCGCGAGGTGGCGCTGGGCCCCGGCGGCGGGCACGGGGGCCCCGCGGGGACGGGCGCCGGCAGCGTGCTCGGCTACAGCGGCACGGCCACGGCGTCGGAGCGGCTGCACGCGCCGGGCCCGCTCACCGAGCCGCTGGTGGTGGAGGTGCTGGCCGTGGGCCGCATGACGCCGCCCAGGGTGCGCTACTCCTTCCACGTCCCGCGCGGCTCCGCCGCCGCCGCCGCCGCCGCCGCCGCCGCGCGCTCCAACGCGCTGTTGGGGGACGCGGGCAGCGAGGGCGGCAACTCCGTGGCGGACGACGGCAAGAGGGAGAAGGACAAGAGGAAGCGGGAGGAGGAGGAGCTGGCCAAGAGCAAGCGGGACGACGGCGCCAGGAGCAAAGCGGGAGGAGCGGCCGTCCCGTCCAAGCGAAAGCCCGGCGGCGTCGGCGCGACGTGGGCGACGGGCGAGTGGGGCGCCTGCTCCCGCACGTGCGGCGGCGGCGGCTCGCAGCGCCGGCACGTGCGCTGCCCTCACCCGACGGGCGCCTGCGCCGGCGCGAGGCCCGAGGCTGCGCGGGCGTGCGGGGAGACGAGCTGCCCCGCGTGGCACGCCGGCGCCTGGTCGCCCTGCTCCAAGACGTGCGGGCGCGGGTTCCGGCGGCGCTCGCTGCGGTGCGAGGCTCGCGGCGCCGGCGTGGCGCCCAACGTGCCGATGCCGCGGGAGCGCTGCGACCGCGCCGGCAAGCCGCAGGAGCTCGACATCTGCGTCGCGCGCGCCTGCTGATCGCGGCCGCTGGCGGGAGATGCGGGGCGGAGAGCGAGCCGACCGGAGCGCCGGCGGTGGGGGCCATGTGGAGTTGCCAGGAGAGGACGCGAAGAAAAAACGTCGGAGGATAATGTCCGAGCGATCGTAGGGGAAGTTGCTGACGGAGCGCGAGCGGCGTGCGCGGACGGTTGCCGCGCGACGGTGATATTCGCATCGCTGCTGTGATCATCCGCTGAGGATGAATCGTCACAAGCGCCGCTGTCATCGCCGCAGTGAGCGTCGATCGTCGTCACGGAGGTGACGGCGTTCAGAGGCCACGCTGGGCTCGACACCGCCGCTGACATCCTCGGCACGTTGAAGGGTGGCGCGATCATCTCTTGACTGTCCTCGCTGATGGAACAATGAAAACAAAAATGCATTTGAGTGGAACTTTCGGACACTTTGTCAGAAAAAAAAAAACACTACAGGAAAGAGGGGGGGACCTCTTCAGCTGACTGTTCACCAACGCACACGAAGAGGCTTGGACACTGAGGCTGCCAGGATGACAGCACAAAACGTGGAGGTGCGGCTCTGCAATTTCTAGCTCACGCTGCTGCAGGCGGAAGGAAGGGCCTCTGCTAGAATGAGCTCTTAGAGGGCCCCTCTAGAGATTATCTTGGCCTACTCTTTCACACAGGCCAGACGTCTTGGAAGAGGTGGGAGTACCACCACACTTGACACACCGCTCACGGGCCAACGATCCTTGCACCGCATTTCTCACAAACCACGGCAGCAGATGCAGATACTTGATGACGATGATGATGAGGATGCACAAATGGAAAATGTTAAACTCTCCGGCAGTGTGCGGAGACTGTGGTTACCACCCAGAACAGAGCCGTGGAGCAGAATACGACTCGATGTGCGACGGCTCAACGCGCCAATTCACGAATACGAAGAAGGCGTCGTCACGGCGACAAAATCGGCGACTCCTGCCGCAAACATCCGGCTGGGACACCTCGATGCGATTTCACATCCAGGTGGTCGAGCGAAGACGATCGCACCGCTCGCAACCTGCCGATCGACTGACTGGTGAATCCCTTTTTTTGACTTCTGGGTGCGGTGGCTGCGGGGTGTTTAGGAAACCCGCACCATTGCTTCGCCTGTCGTGCTGGGAGATGGAATCGAATCTGGACTTGCCTCTGCATTGCAAGTCCAGTGTGCTGACATTCACGCGACGGCGGCAGCAGCGTCTCTTTCACCGCGTGTATTATCACTTTGTTTCACCCGTAACGCGTTGTCAAACTGGCGATTGTCACGAAGCTGTTTTGTCCGGTTTGATTTTTGGCGTTTTTTTGTTTTGTTATAATTAACTTATTTTTTTTATTACCGTTTCATTGCTGAAGATTACAAAGCACAGGTAATCTGGAGCGCTAGTCGCAGTGGGAGAGAGCAAGGCTTTCTCTGAAACACAAAAACAACAACAACTTACAGACACGACATTTAGCGCAAGATAGCAACGGCTAAAACTTGACCTTTTTGTTTTGTTTCTCTATCCGAGTTGTGTTTACAACCTGCAAATCTTGAGGGTTTTAATTGGATAGATTTGTTTTGTAGTCGTTATCATCGCGAGGCAGCGATTCAACAACAACAACAACAAAAACAACAAAATCTCCATTTCTTGATTCCGTCTCGTGATTTTGCCCTCTGACTTTCTCGGCTCCAGCCACGTGGTCCCGGGGTCCGGACCAGACTTTCCTTCGCTCGGCTCAAACCCAAAGGTGGCACTGATTGACTTCACGTGGTCGATATAAATACGCGAGTGGCTGGTTTTCTCTCCGCTTCAGTGTCACATTCCGCGAGTTAATTTTGCTTGGTTCACTGCTGGCGGCGATTGTTGTGGTTTTGTTCGTGCTCAGCCAGGGACTTGGATCAAGATGCAGGACGTTTAGGCTGATCTTGTCCCATGAGTTAAACCAATCAACCTCCAGACTGTCATTCTTTGGGAGGGTTGGGAGGTGGGGGGGGCTAAATAATAAAAACAACTTCTGCTTGGATTTTCTACTTTGAAGCATCGACTCAAATACACATTTTAAACAATAATTTGCAGAACTTTGTTAATCCGCTGAGGGATGAAGGCCTCAGCGCGCCATGTCAGTAATGAGCATACTTCACCACAACGGTTAGTGCGGGATGGTCGAGGGATGTTGGCCCATGCACCAGTTTAAGATGTCACTCACCACTGATATTAGCCTTGGTCGGGAATGGAGCTCGCGACTGTGCCCACGCTCCTCGCCAACTCAACAATACTTGGCAAGTTTCGGCTCTCCAGCTCTTCGAGAACACGGTCAACATACATACAGTGGCCAACTCATACGGCCGGTGAGAGTTACGTCGCAGCCATTTCAAACCCACGAAAACCCACTCGTGTCTGACCGTATGAATGCATCCGTAGCGCAAAAAGGTTTTTTTTTTCAAAACTTACGTGGCGGTAATGATTTCTTACACTGGCCCACGGACGAAGGTGCTGATTTGACGATCTCGCGCACGTGCAACCACTGTGGTGGACTCGTCACACCCCCCGGGTTCGATCTGCAAATCTTTCCCACCTTCCTCCGCCTCTTGGAATCCAACGGAAAGCAGTTGGGTCGATTTACGGATGACGCTGCCGCGCTCGCCGATTCGCTCTCTCTCTCTCTCGCCACCATCAGGGACGCACACGCCGGCGCGGCTCGGATGCGCCAGTCGAAAAAAACGGGGGATGCGAGGTTAGTAGCGGGTGACGAGGTGGGGAGGAGCAGAGCGGCCCAGCTGACGCGTGACGCCGTTCGTTGGCGGTGCCCACCCTCGGATGGCCGCCCGTCACGGGCCGGAGGGAGCGTGCAGGGGAGTGGAGGTTTGCTGCACATTTCTGAGGGTTCAATTTGGTGTTTGGGTATACCTCAAGTTGCAGAGCAGGTATATATAAAAAAAAAATGCGATCTTTTTATTCCTTGTTTTGTCATTTACGTTACAAACTTAGGGAGCACGAGAGAGCGGAGAGAAGTAGGAAACCAAAGTGTTAATAATGTAACGATTTTTTTAATCATATATAAACCTTTGTAAAGAAACTGCAGAGGATTAAAAAAAGCAGAATTTTTGGGGGTTTTCTGCTGGAAGCAGTTTCATGGGGTCGTTGGTCGTGATCGTCGTGATCATCGTTCGTCGTGATCATCGCTCGTCGTGATCGTCGTGATCATCGTTGGTCGTGATCGTCGTGATCATTGTTCATCGTGGTCGTGATGATTTTCCAGCGATGCCGCCGGTCGAAGGACTTACCGTGGCGTCCAGCCCGCGTGTAAATACTGTACATGTCTTAGCGCTCCTTGGCACAGTGACTGCATTGGATATAAAAAATAATGATAATAAGCCTTCGTCTTGTGAATATGAATTGTATTTATGCACATTTTTGTCCCGTCGATATCGCCGCACGCCGCGCATCGATTTCACTCTTTTTGTACGCTTAGTAAGCTGACGAGGTCGCCGTTGTGACCGGCGACCGGCTTGTCACTCTGCACCGACACCGACCGCAAAGCGAGCGAGCGCTCACGCTCTGTTCGCGACCCGAGCGCTCGGCGGACGTCGGAGCTCGATGCGACGTTCATCTCCTTGTTTTCTCTTTTTAACGGCTTTGAAAAAAAAACATTTGGGAAACGCAGAGCGATTTCAGATGGGGAGAGGAGGGGTTACATTTTGTTCGTCACAAGCAACACACACACACATTTCTTTTTTGGGTGTGTGTGTACGCAATGATAACAGGGTTCCGTTAACTCGCCGAGCAGGCGACGATGGGGTTCATGGGAAGGCTGCCAAATATTCTCGATTGGCCAGGACAAGTGCTGGCGGTTTCAAGAAAGTTGGCCTTCTGTAAAAGGGTTTTTGGGGAAAATCGAGATCTCCGGATTTTCAAGATTTGCCCTCCTCATGCTTGACTATGACACGGGCAAAGGGGGGTGGGTGGGGTGCCTGAGTAGTGGGCGGAGTAAAATATTGGAAGTAACGGAAGAGGCCGTTGGCTGTGCTGGCGGCTGAGTGGGTGGGGCCGTGCAAAAGTGGGCGGGGCCCGACGCAGGGGAGGGGCTACCAGCCGCATCGCTGTGCGTGCTCGTGTCGTGGTCGAGCCTTCCAGAAGTTTTGGTAGCATTTTGTTGTTCACTGTCTACACGTGTTTCTTTTTGGGGGGGGGGGGTCGTCTTCATTTTTGTGTTGATTTTCGTTTCATTTTACAGCTACTATATTAACAAACAAAAAAAAAGTCGGTTTGTATGGAGCGGGGTGGAGAGGGCTGAGCGTGGAGAGGAAAGAGGTCTTGAACCGGCATAGCGGTGTGAGTGTGTGTGAGTGCCACGGCCTGTATACTGTGTATACTTGATAACACCCCAATGTACAATGCACAAATAAAGTTGCTCGACACCCTATCCGCTGTGCTGTCGCTATGTCTCCCTCTCTGTGTGCAGGGTTGCGTGCGTGACCGGCACGTCTCTCTCTGTCTTATGTCTATTTCAGTCAGCGAAATGAGCAGGGAAAGTGACAAGTACGTGCACAGCAGGGCACAGCAGGCCAGGGGGCAGACACTCACGTGACCCCTCCTCATTGTGCCGTATTCATTCAAATTGCGGCGCCATCTTCGTAGGTGGTGTGGTCGGCCCCTCTGGCAGCAGTCTTGCAAGAGTTCACCAAGAGCTGCTACACGGCGGTTCAGTTCCAGTGATAGGCAGAGGATAAGAGGACGGTCTAGAGCCTGGACTTTAAAGGAAACTAAACTTTATTTTATCAGGTAAGGGACACTGAGGTATGTAGTTATTTTTCAGAAGCGACCTGGCTATCACAAATAATTATATTCCAATGATGACGTCGCTTATCACGTGGAAATGTATTTCCACCAAATACTCGAAACGTATATACGTGCAGGTAAAACCGGGGAGAGAGAGATACATGCAAACTCCAAATATACAACAGGCTTCAGGGTCGGGATCGAACTCACGACCTCCTGTATAGCAGGCGAGGTAGTTAACATCTCCAAGCCACCGTGGTGCCACATAATTTGCTGCAGCTCAGTTCCAGTGATAGGCAGAGGAGAAGAGGAAGGCCGAGATGGCACCTGGAGCTTGAGAGCCCAGGCGGCTGGTGGAAGGGAGTTCCAGACCAGGGGAAGCACGTTGACTTGACGCTTTGTTTTTAATGGAAAGCGTGGAGCGAGGAGTAGGATGAGACGAGAAGGGAGCAGTAGGCAGGGACGCGAGCCCGAGGAGGCTCTTGAAGACAGTGTGGAGCGATCTTGATATGGATACAGAATTGGATTGTGGAGTCGTTGGAGGAATCGGAGTAGCGTTGTCTTGTTTACAAGTGCGCGGATGAGAAGCCTACTGCAAGCCAAACCACGCTAGGCATCAAACTAAATGCGTTCTGTCTTACCCCTTCGCCAGCCCACTCGTCATAGCCTCATGAAAATACCAACCCGATCCTTTTGAGTGGCTACTTAAACCCGCAAACACTTGTAAACACAAACCACATGTTTTTGCAGGGACCGGGCACAATCCTGATGAATGAATCACAACTGCTCCACGTGACCCATACCTTAATCCTCTTGCCTACGGCTGGATGAGCAGCAGCAGCAACTTACAAATCTACGTCGAGATGAGTTGAGCCAGGAAATGGCTTCGGTTGACATGCGGTGGTGGGCGGCTTCAGTGCCTCTCACTGAATTCCGAGTTCCACAGTGAGTCTGCTGCTGCTGTGTAGTTGACGGCCTGCTACAGCCTTTAGCAGTCGCACGCTGGGGCTTCCCTTATATTAGCCGTCATCTCACGGGCCAACGCGCGAGCTGGTTGAAAAGAAGAGCCGTGGAGGGGAGTTTGGTGAGATGAGAGGGGGATGTACAAATGCAAATGATGATGCAATTTGCAATGACTGAGGTGCAGAGCCAGGCTCAGTGTCGCTCTAAAAGCCAGATGGTTAGAGGTGGAGCTTGCAAGAAAGCGTTTGGCTTTCTCGTCGGCGTGGGTCGAACGCTGCTGTGATAGTGCAGCGGGACGATGGCCACGTTCGAGTCGCCTGGCAGTGTAGGTCGCGGCCCTCGGTGTGTAGAGAGGAGCTGCAGGTTTTGAGCCGCGCTGCGGAGGAGGAGAGTTCCACCGTGAGCTGGAAGCGCAGGGTGGAACGGTTTGGGGAGAGAGACATACGGTGGACCACCGAAAGTCGATGCGTGGTGGCACAGGCAGGGACAAAAGTCTCCACGTTGAAGTCGAGAGTAGAGCGCTGAATATCGGTGTCGGGAGATGGTTGTATGAGGCGGGTTGATGTTCGCGTTTCCGTGCGGGTCCAGTGATTGGATACAAGTGACTAGGAAAGCAGCTCATGGCCGAATATTAGAGCAGGGTGCAGAGGATTGTAGAAATGTTATGGCAGGATCGGGAAAGCAACCCGAAGATTAAGACTAAAAAGACGTGGCTTAGAGACATTGTTGTGGATGTCATTGGGAAGAGGAGACTGTGATGGTGGGGCACGTGGGCAGGGTTGGAGGAGGGCAGGTGAATCAAGAAGGGCATTGGAGTGGCACCTGGAGGGCAAGTGGACCAAGAAGGGCATTGGAGTGGCACCTGGAGGGCAAGTGATTCAATAAAGACATTGGAGTGGCACCTGGAGGTTGATGGCAGAGGTGAAGACCTAACAAGGGGGCATTGGTCAGTCAGAGTGGTCAGAGAAGGGCAAGGGCAAGACCTAGAGCCAGATGGTGATTATGAGACGAGGAACAGAACTTGGAGGTCAGGTGCCAAATGTTAAGGAAGTAGCCAACGGCCAGGTGTAGTGGCAGCAATAGCACTGATCGCAATGATCTATATCGATCGGGCCCTTAAGGCCGACAGTCTAATTGGATGGGTCACAGTCACGTGATGCCCCGCACCCACAACCCCAGGTCACCCGAGAAAATCAGACTCACCCTGGTCTCTTCAAAAGTAAACTTGACTTGACTGTTCGAGGTGCCCGTTACAATTCAAGAGTGTTTTGTAAAAAAAAAACGTGATAACCCACACAAGGATAGATCTATAACATCATCATCATCGTCATCATCATGTACAGTATATTCATTTAACGCACAGCTCGCTTTACAATCCACTTTTAATGGACTTAATCATAAACTTGTTTTCCATCCAATAAATGTGCTCAATTGTTTCACACAGGGCCGACTACTTTCTGGACGTCGAGAATTTCTGTAGGTTTTGTTTTTCTTCCAGGGTGCCATCTGAATCTGTGAGCGCGAGGCGGACAGCCGGCCCCGCACGGCTCCCCCTTAAAGCCACACCAGCGACGGCGATGTGAAGTGAAGCCCTCGGCTCCCTGCGAGAGTGAGGCCTCTCTCAGGTCCCATCGATGTAACCTATCAACCCGAGCTGGACATGCTCTGATACTCGCATTGCCTTCGTACTGATCGCCTTTCGGCGTTCTCTGGTCTCACACTGGTGGCGAATCAAAAGGCCGTAAAGAAAGCTGTCTCTGGCGGAGGCCTTTCAGTTTCAAAGACAACGCGAATGTCATCCGAGCGTGTTTGCACGTTTCGCCACAAGTCCGTCTGCTTAATGCAGACTTGATTCCTTGAAATAGGAATATGTTTGGTGTTTGAAAATCTTAACACCTCCTGCATTATTGCCAGACAGAAAGCGCAAAGCCCTTTCTTATTTTTGTTTTCATCGGCAGGCCTCTCTTTCTCCCCTTAAGGTCCCGTACAGGCGTCTCGCGTGCCGCGCAGACAGCCAGCCACACCCCCCCCCCCCCCCCCCCTGAGCCGAGTGCCCTTGATGCGATTTTAAAATTGGCGGTGAGGCGAGAGGTGAAACGAGCAGGAGGAAGAAACGCGGAGGGGGCGGGCGAAAGTTCTTTAGGGCCGTAAGTATCCCGTGAGAAACCGTGGCCAACGATGGACAACCACGAAGGGTGATGCCGACTTATTGAATCGGTGGATGTGGCTCCCACCAGCCCCCACCCCCCCACAAGCACTTTCGTTGACAGCCAATTCGATGTCTCTCATAAGCGTTGGGTTCCCTCATCCACGGGTTCCTCTCTTGTTAACTCTCTCCGTTGTCATTACCAGGGTGCATATCTCGCCACGCTTAAAAAAATATAAACTTGGGATCAAATGTATTTGCAAACGGTATTATTTGCGACTGCATGCTGATGTTGGTGCAACGGTCAGCAGACTGGACTTGCAATCTCTAGACACCCAGCAGTATACAGTGAAGGAAAAAAATATTTGATCCCCTGCTGATTTTGTACGTTTGCCCACTGACAAAGAAATTTTCAGTCTATAATTTTAATGGTAGGTTTATTTGTACAGTGAGAGACAGAATAACAACAACAAAAAATCCAGAAAACCGCACGTTAAAAATGTTATAAATTTATTTGCATTTTAATGAGGGAAATAAGTATTTGACCCCTCTGCAAAACATGACTTAGTACTTGGTGGCAAAATCCTTGATAGCAATCACAGAGGTCAGACGTTTCTTGTAGTTGGCCACCAGGTTTGCACACATCTCAGGAGGGATTTTGTCCCACTCCTCTTTGCAGATCTTCTCCAAGTCATTAAGGTTTCGAGGCTGACGTTTGGCAACTCGAACCTTCAGCTCCCTCCACAGATTTTCTATAGGATTAAGGTCTGGAGACTGGCTAGGCGAGCGAGTGGGTGAGTGAGTGTGCGTGTCCGTGCGAGCGAGTGAGTCTGCGTGCTCGTGCGAACGTGCGAGCGAGTGTGTGGGTGTGTGTGTCCGTGCGAGTGAGTGTGTAAGTGTGTGTGTCCGTGCGAGTGAGTGTGTGTGTCCGTGTGAGTGAGTGTGCGTGTCCGTGCGAGCGAGTGAGTCTGCGTGTCCGTGCGAGCGAGTGAGTGTGCGTGTCCGTGCGAGCGAGTGTGTGGGTGTGTGTGTCCGTGCGAGTGAGTGTGTAAGTGTGTGTGTCCGTGCGAGTGAGTGTGTGTGTCCGTGTGAGTGAGTGTGCGTGTCCGTGCGAGCGAGTGATTCTGCGTGTCCGTGCGAGTGAGTGTGCGTGTCCGTGCGAGCGTGCGAGCGAGTGTGTGGGTGTGTGTGTCCGTGCGAGTGAGTGTGTAAGTGTGTGTGTCCGTGCGAGTGAGTGTGTGTGTCCGTGTGAGTGAGTGAGTCTGCACGCGCCGACAATCCACCGGTGGGAAATGCGCAGAGGAGAAGGCGATGACGAAATCAATGCAGCGTAATTCATCTCAAGATATATCATGAGTGATTATGATAATAATATTACCAAGTCACTTTTGCCAATGCACCGCTGGATGAAAAACTCCTCACGTTGATCGCGTTGGTCCTAGTCATTGTTGCGAATCTTATTTTGTAACATTCGCTGTGCATGAGTGATCATGATTTTTGACACTTGGGTTAGGTTTCATCTTGAACCCAAATTG